GATGAGTTGGATTGCTTAAATAGAACGACGTTCTTTTTAATATAATTCATATTTTTATGTTGTTAATTGTATGTTTTCTTTATTTTTGAGAATATTGGTATAACTATCGAATCAGTTGTTGGACAGATTTCGGTTAAACCAAACCCCAAACCAGCTTGGTGGCCTGTCTAATTAACAATATCTCGTGGAGAGAGAGAGAGAGAGAGAGAGTTAAGCACGCACATGCCCCCTCTTTCATAAATTGTAGGTGAAGTGTAAGCAGTCAGTACAGCTAACTACGTTTGTTTTGTTTATTTGCAAATGTTTATCCATTATTTGAAATATGGAAAACGTTTATATAAGGATGCTACCTTATAATGTACATCTACTGCCCCTCAAAAATCCATCGGAAAATATAGTTTTAATGTTGGAAAACACTTTGATTGATCATCTCGACAATGTTGGAAAACCCTTTGATTGATCATCTCGTCGAGACGTATAACCATGAAAAATAAAAAGATTTGAAGTCTTAAAAATAGTGTATTCTATGACATATTATCTACACTATTCATCTTCAAGATTTTCATATGTTTTATAGATCTACTTGATTTTAACCATTTTTGAAATTTAAAATTTTATAATTAGATATAAAAATAGATTTTGATATAATCCTAAAAACATTTTACATCAAAATTATATACCATGATAAAATTTGAAGGTGCACCTTACCTACCTACGGATGCATCCGTATGCAAACTGCACTCTTGAAATATTCAGGAAATATAGCAACTACATTTTTATAAAAGGAATTATCAAAATTTTAGCTGGTCATTTGAATCTCAGCCAGGATTTGGTGTTAAAATTCTACTTCTGAATTTACAAATAGAAGGCAACCTAATTGAGAAAAGGATCAGTTCATAAATAATTTTGTAAAACTATAAAAGTTGAATGCTTAGAAAATCAATTGATTATGAGACTCATTCTTAGCTCCCTTGAAGGTCTTCAGCTTTCCTATAATCTCATCAGCCAAGATCACACAAGAATAATCCCCCGATAGACTCTTAGCTCACAAAAAAAAGAAGAAAAAACTCAGCTTATCAAAACAAAACTTGATTCCTTCCTACTAAAAAAGGCAATAAATAATTTCACACAAACAATTAACAGTTAAATACAAACACGTCTAGTCCGGGGTGAGTCCCGATCCTCGCCCCCTCATATATGCTCGAATCACAAGATTCTCCGAAGCGTAAGTCATGAATGCCACTAATACCATACCACCACCAACCATTAGCCCTAATCTGCAAAAGTCGGCTACATTTGGTTAGAAATCTCAAAAAGTAATCCAAAACAGCTGATTTAATCTGCAATAATTAAATCTGATATGGCTACGGATCAGAACTAATGAGCAATATTAATCATATTTGTTGGAAATCCGAGAGAATACATCAAGGTAGCTGAAGAGAGCCAATAATGAGATTTGATAGCAGGCAAATTCTAGAAAACCAGGCTTGTTTTCCCAGTTCAAAGGCAGATAATATTCATGCTGATGCTAAAAATCTTGCATCCTATAGAGTTGCTATGAATGGTTTGAAGTCTCACTACCAAACTCTAAAACCCACAGACCAAAGAGCCCCAATTACACTGAGGTGGTCTCGGCTCTTTGAACTATTTTGACTCAGTACTCAAATCACACAACTGAGTTAATTTGGAAACGAAAACAAAATACCCCAGTTATCTAAAATAACCTCAATCTCTCTGGTTTTTGATAGTTTTACCTCGAGAAAAGAGCAGTGATCCCAAAGAGACAAGGTAATGATGGGGCAGCAATGGCCAAAAACCCCATCCCTAACCCATAATACCAGGTCACAGCATCACAACAGGATGCTTGGCGCTGATGCCCTGCATCACATGGTTATAGCACAGAGTTAATAATAGTTGGCATCTCTACTTACTGTAAAAACCAGTTAGCCAAATAATAAAATTGCCAAGAACCAATAAAACCCAACCAACCTTTTCCAGAGTTGTAGCGTGATGGAGACTCGGTGCCACTAGAAAAGGTTCCTTGATTTGATGATGACCTCCCACATTCATATATAATATGAAGATAGCTTCCAAATATGATGATAAAAAGAGCAAATGTCCACTCATAAAGCAGCGATAAACCAGTCCATGGCATCACCTGGCGTGGAATAATTGCAAATGCGGCCACAAGGGATGCTATGGCAGCACCAAAGCAAACCAAAACCGATATGCCTCCTAAATAAGGAGGTAGCTTGGCATTTGTTCCATTTGTGAACTGCTGAGACACCAGTTTCAGAGGTTTCAATTGCATGGTATAAGAGAAAAACTTCCCAATTTTTTTAAAAAATTACCAACTTAAGTAATCAAGTTTAATAAAGGATTCATATATCTTTAAACAAAAAAAAAAAAAAGACCACAAAAATCCAAATGATCAAGGTAACACCATTGACAATGGAAATGAATCCAATAATCTTTGTTATTTTAAGGCTGCTATCAATCCTAGTATCCAAAAATTAATACCTGACCATTTATGACTAACTGGCAATGAATTTCATGAAACTCCCACTCTAGCTATTACATTTGGGTAACTAAGATGAATCTATTTATTTTATATCGATAATGATGAAAGGACTCACTAATCAGGAAAAATATTTATGAATATGAAAGGCTTGTTGTTCTTCATTGATATAAGAAGGTTTCATTTATCCTTCCCAAATAAAAAATCAGTACAATAACTATTTAAATAGAGTTGTAAAACTCCAACCAACAAAATAAATAAATTACTAAACAAATGCATGGCACAGTAGAAGGAAGAACAAATGACCTGTTGATTTGAGTTAGAAGAAACACCAATAGCGGAATAAGGAGCACCAGATCTACACTTGTAATAAAGATGCCTGATGTAATTGCATAAGGAGCCTCTACATAGTGCACCGAACAAATCCTTTTGCAGCTGATCATAGCATTGAATCACTTACTCTCAAAATTTCCCCAGTATTAATCTTTGAGCGCATATAATATTTGAGGGACAGGAAAAGATTGAACGAATTGTTAATATTTCAATCACTTGAACTCGTCTAGAAGTCAAGTTCAAACCTCAAAAAATGGGCGGTAGTAGCACGCAACCAGTGCAAGAAGGGGAATGAAAAAAAGGAACTTCACCAACAGCTCGTCATTAGCGTTATTGCCGCCGCCTGTGCCAGGAAGAGATTCCTTAAGTCCCACCCGAACATCCTATTGACACAATTAATGAAAACTCAAATGTCAAGTTGAATAACAGCTATCATAAACAATACGGTGTATAATACTTTTATAGCTCTTGAATCATACTTTGAGATCTTGGTTTCTAGATATTATGGAAATACATGTCCTTTTCACGAGAAATTGTACAGACTTTCAAGCTTTGAAATATTAAAGAGAAAAATCAAAAAATCAGCAACAATTTCTCATCCAAATGACCAACATATCTTCAACCACTCATAAATTGCAGTGATAAATAATTTTACCATATCCCCTGCACAAAAGAATGACGAATACCTGCCACAAGTCAACAGGTTTTAACAGCCAAGCCGTCCACCAGTCCCATGGTTTTAGAGGACCGAGGGTGTAATGAATGATGCGCAGTTCCTTCTCATCTACCATCCACTGGAAGAAGAAAATCGTGAAAGGGAAAAATAATAAGAAGCACCTCTCAAGCCTGATGAAAACCAATAATACAAAATTGCATCCCAAAGCAGTGATTATAAATTGATCACTCCGATTCCATTGGCATTGGCACGAAACCCAAGAACTATAATACACATCTCCCAGAAGTTTCATTACCTTGTGAAATATATTTCAGGCCCAGATAAGAGAGCGTGAGGGGAGTGCTATATTCATTGAAAACTTAAATAACTAAAGTTGCCTAAACAAATCATGCATGCCACCAAATAGCAACATAATCCATATATTATGTGGAGAGTGCATCTATCAATACCTTATTTGCTAGCATGTACAGGCCAACATCAGCATTATATAAAGTTGAGAGCCTCTCCATTTCAGGTGTCAGTCTTGAATTTCTCACTTCTAATGATAAATTCGGCTCAAAGACATGTGCATTAGCAAACCCAGCATAATAAGAATTCAGGAAACCCTGATCTCCTGTCAATATCAAATAGTGGCATCAATCAGTGATTGGTAATAAATTACTACAAAGAAAATATCTCCAAAAATAGCATAACTTAAATAATAGATAATTAACTCAATGTATGAGTAGATGACAATCTATCATACTATCGTCAAACAATTATCAGGCAATAGGAACTAGTGATGAACACCACCTCCTGTGTAAGAGGGCAAGGTGTTCACTTTGCCCACCATATCCTTGAACAGTTCCTCAGATGGTTCCACCACCATGACTCCAGAGTTCATCCTTTCAGAATGTTTCAAGTTTGCACAGAACTTTCCACATTTAAAGAGATCCTCAATGCTTCTGAGAACAATTGTGTCTGCATCAAGATACACAACTGCACAACGACTAGAAATAACGTGAGAAAACTTCTCTGTGGATACATCTCTAAAGTACCCAAAAACATCTGTAAAATAAACGAAGTACCGAATTCCACCTAATAGAAAACTGATAAAACCAAATCCAAACAAACTAGATCATTAAAAGTTTAAAGCGTAAACATGGAATTACAAGTTCAAGTCGCTAGAATAACTCAAAGCAATACCTTTCTTGTAGTTTGTCATATTAAATATTTTCAGTTTTGTATAGACACCCCAAAACCTCTTGGGTCTTTTAAGATTTGGATTGGCCAACAGGCTTATACGCTCCAGAATCCAGCCATCAGCCTGCAGATAAAAAAACTTTGTACATGAGGGAAAAAAGAACATGTGATGGCACATAAATCTTTACAAACTAAAAATAAAAATAAAAATGATGAATGACTGCAATCAAATATATATAGTTTTTCTAAAAGTCCAGAGCTTCTCTACACCAAGTGCTGAATGCAAAATCCTAGTGGAACCACATAAAACAACATACCAATGGCAAAGAAGCAACAATCTTCAAACGTGTGAAACAACACTTGAAGTTTTGAACTTTGACATAATCCCTAGTATTCATCAGAGTACATCAGTTATTCAGTTCCAAGGATATTGCTTCTTAGCAATTAAAAAGTTATTTCAGTATCATATGTTCATGTAAAATATATGGTATGCCATGTGTGATTATATCAAATTGTTGACACTTAGCTAGATAAGCTCCTAACTATAAGGTGGTTCATGCCAAATTGCAATTTGGGCAATTTTGGAATTTTGTCACCTGCAATTTAACCACAAGGTATGTTTAATTTAAAATTTGAATGGATTGTCAATTGCAATGGGGTCCCAATTAAATTTTGTTCCAAAACCACTCCAAGTTTGCAAAATTCTCTCTCTCTCTCTCTCTCTCTCTCCACCACCACCACCACCGCTACCACTGACTGCCACCACAGCCACAACCACCAGCCCCACCAGGACACTTCCTCCACCACCATCACCAATCTGCTGCCACAACCACCACCATTACTCCACCGCTGCCGCTGCCACAACCACCACCATTACTCC